GTGCTCTAGGAAGATTATCAGAGTCTTCAGGAGAAGGGGCCTACTGGAAGTAGATCAGTGGGGTGTGCCTTTGGGGGTGCTATTAGGACCTTAGTCCCTTCCTCTCACTCTTGGCTTACGGTAACTGAATAGTAAGCATGTGTCTCTGCTATACACACCAGCCATGTCCTCAGCTGACACAGCCACAGAGCTGACCCACCATGGACTGATGCCTCTGAGACCAGGGAGCCAGAGCAGACTTTTCCTCGGCTCATTATCTCAGGTGTTTTTTCACAGTCACCAAATACTAACTAGTGTGTTTTGCTTCACTTTTTTTTTTTTTTGAGAAAAGTTAATATTGGATCATAAAACCTCTCTTCCCTTCATCACTCATGCCACAGGCTGGCGGGGCAACACTGGGGCCATTCCTAAGGGCCTATGCTTGCTGCTTAACTGTTCCCTAGGCTGAACTATCTTCCAGGAATGGAATGTGTCTCCAGGGCCCACAACGGTGCCTGGTACAGATGCTCACTTGGAGATGTAGCTGGAATTGAGCATCTCTTGGCAGCCAATATGAGGAACATGCAGGGTAGAGATGGCCGAGGATGGGAAGGAGTCCGGAGGACAGGATCTACACCTTGGCAGGGTCCAAAGAACATGGAGTGGACAGTGTAGGGATGTTCCCAGAGAAAGCAGTGAACCTGGGTCCTAAGGAGGATCCTATGGTGAGCACAGCATTCGGGCCTATATAAATTTGTCCTGTGTCACTGTGAACCAAAATATCTAAAGGAACAAGTTGCAGGAGGAAAGCCTTAATGGGACATGGTTTCTCAGGATTCAGTCCATGGTCACTTGGCCCTGTGTACTTGGACAGACCATTGTGATGGTGGGAGTGTGTGTACAGGAGTAGGTTGTTTGCCTCAAGACACACATGAAACAAAGAATGAGAAAGGAACAGATTTAATTTCAAAGGCACAGTCCCCAGTAACCTGTTTCTCCAACGAGGTCTACCTACGGAAGTTTGTAGACCCTCCCAAAATAGTGCCATCAACTGGGGACCAAGTGTTCCAAGAGTTTGGCACACGAGTCAACGCTCTTCTGGAACCTCTCGAGTAGACTAAAGTGGAGATCAGGCAGAGCAAGCCCCCATTCCTGCTCCCACCTCCGAACCATCTGATGGGGTGCTGAGCAGTCAGAGATTATGGTGGGTGTTTGACTGTGTCACCTGTCAGGGAGAGCAGCATTGCTAGATTTAGCAGAGCCCTCCCTGGGTTGTGAGATGGCAGACTCAGTTCATCAAGGTCACAGCAACTGGACAGGCGTGGAGGAGCCTGCGTGGGAGGAGGCAGTCTTGCTGTCGTGCTGCTTTGCTGATCACAGCCTCTCAGGACAGTTGTGGGGGAAGAGCTTGCTCTGGACCTTGAGCTCACTCCTTTACCAACAGCTTGAGCAGCACAGATGTCTCTGCAGCTTACTCTGTACGGGAGGCACTGAGAGAGGCAACCCTAAGTTTTCTCTGGATGAATCTGTCTGCTCACTATGTGGTGCCAGGGGTGATGTCTTAATCAGGATTTTCTTTAGAGGGACAGCACTTACAGGCTGTGATCCAACAATGGCTGTCTACCAACAGAAGGTTCCAGGATCCAGTCCATGGGGCTAGATGTCTCAGCTGGTCTTCAGTATACTCCAGAATCCTGAAGAAGTAGGCTCTAATGCCAGTAGAGGAATGGGTATGCTATGGAGAGCAAGCTGGCAAAGAGAGAGCAGGTTTCCTTCTTCCGTGAATATAGGCTGCCAGGAGAAGGTGTGGTCCAGATTGAAGGTGGATCTTCCCACCTCAAAGATCCAGATTAGAAGAGGGTCTCCCCATTTCGAATGACTTCATTAAGAAAAAAATCCCTTATAGGTATGCCTGGCCATTTGGGTTTTAGTTAATTCCTGATTGAGTCAAGTTGACACCAAAGAATAGCCACCACAGGTGGAAAGTTATGGACATTCAGGGTGGGTGGCAGAGGGGGCCATTTCTCCAAGCTCATGCTGCACCCATGGGCAGTTGTAGAGCCAGCCCAGCTTCCAGTCTCAGTCCCCAGGCTCTCCCCAACAGAGACTCAAATGGACCAAGCCCAGCCCTTCTTAGGACAGGAAGCAGGGCTCTTGGAGACAGCCTGTGGCCTGGCACGTGATAGGTGAAGAAGGACCAGGTGACTGCTAATTCTGTGGGGTCAGCATGTCCAAAATATCCAGAACTCTGTCCCTTGCTGCCTCTGAGTCCTTTCCTTACAGACCACCAAAGCCCCGCCCTCTATCATGCCCCACCCCCCAACTCTCCTCTTATCAGCTCCCTGCATCTCTCTCTCTCTGACAAGATCTCTGTTCCACCTTGCTTTGCATCTAGCCTCTGCAGGATGAGCGGGTCTTCAAGGGGAGAGACAGAGCTACATAGGAAGCCACCAGCTCAATACTGACACATCCAGTGTCTTCTACAGCCTGGAGCATGTGTTGGGCTGATGAAAGAACATAGTGCTCAGGCAGATGAGTGTGCATCTCATCCTGCCACAAGCCTCCTTGCCCCTCCTTGCTATTATTGACCCCCCCACCCCATGGGTAAAGCAAGAGTGTGTACTTCCCAATGCACTGTCCCTACGTGTGCCCTTCCTGTTACCACCACAGGATGGGAATGAATGAAAGAAACTTGAAAGAGCTCCTAACAGATCCCTCCACACAATCCTGGCAGAAAGAGTTTCGTCTCAGGACCAGTACAGAACAAGGAGGCCACGGAAGGGTGCTCTGACCTCACCCAACTGCCCAAGTCATGTGACACATATTCCTGCTTGATCTTTCCAATTTCCTGGACTCCAAAGTGCTCTGGGGACCACTAGGAGGCTGCGGTGGATTTAGCACCCTCCCATGACATGAAGGTCTACTCAAGTCCTTTGCCCATTTTTGCGACATCATTGAGTTTCAGGAGTTCCCATGTCACCTGAGATGTTTGAAATTCTAAGATGCATACGAAACAACAAAGAGGCTGCTCACAGCTGGCCTCTGTAGACTATGCCTGTAGACCTCACTCTTACCTACAGTCTGAGGATACCAGCTCCCTTCTTGGCTCTGGATACCTGGTCCTGCTAGCACCCAAATAGGCAATGAAGAAATCTGAGGCTCCAGGGGTGAAGATGGCTGAAAAGTTACTAAATTGTTCAAACAGCTGAGCCCAAGGCCTGAGTTAATCTAACCACCACATACATGCCGCCTCAACTTCTAAGCTTCCTAAAATAAATAGTTTTGTCCCAAAGTAGAAGAAATATACAAAGGCATCCTATAAATAAATAAGAAAATGTAAGCATCAGGGATTTTTTTTAGATGGGCTTTCAGGAGGAAGTCAAATGGCTCAGTAAACAGCATCGCTTATCTCATGAGTAGCCACGGACTTGCACACTAAGGGTACTGGACTAACCAAGTGTTGTGTAGATGTACAGCTTCCCTTCAAACAGAACTTGTCTGCCAGCTGCCACTATACTACCAGCTACCAGCCTGCAAAGCATCAGAATCCAGTGCCATCGTACTGAGGCCACACTCTTCCCAGCAGGCCCTGGCCTGGACTGAATACCACACTGGGCATGCCCCGACTTGACCATGCAGTTGTACAGGTGCCCCTCCCCCGACCCCTCCTCCTGTTGGCTGCCCCGCTGCCAGACCCTCATGGTGGTCTGAGTCTCCCCACACCCAGTCCTGCTCCCTGCTTTACCTTTCATTAGTGCCTCTCCCAACTGTTTCTCAGGGCTGATGTCCTGTAAAAGTCAATACGGCACACATACATGGTCCACAGCACATATACATGAACGTTTGTGGTGCACATACACACTTACACACATCCTGCCCGAGACAGAAGCAGGACTGGTAGAGGCAATATGCTCTAAGTGGTGTGCATAGAAAGCACAGGCAAACTGTTTCCAAGCCTGGTCCCTGCATCCCTGTAACCTGCAACTCCCTAGATGGGAGGTTGTCCCCAGAAAGAGCCACAGACTAGTATAAACAGCTCACCAGGAGACCACTTATCACGGGATTGCTTATAATAGTCAAATCTAAAAGCCATCTAAATTTCCAGCCATGGAAGTCAGATTATGTAACTCTCTGCACCCACGCAGTGGAATGCCAGGGGGTCACTCAAAAAGGCCGAGGGTATGCATCAGCTTCTGTGGGAAGATGCCTCCTGTGTGGCATTTGGAGACAGCACAGGTTGAGCGGTGGAGACCAACGCACTGCAATTGGCTCCTTAAACCTCTTCACACCTCTTCTGCAATGGGCCAAGGCTCAGGGAACGCAAGTCACATGCTAAGACCTGCTGGCCACTAAGTAAGGAAGCTTGAAGCCTCCACACTCCTCCCCCGCTCCTGAAAGAGGGAGAAGGAGGGGAGTGACAGGGCTTAAAAGGACAACCACTCTTGGTGTAGGAGGATCAGGGAAATAGTTTTTACTTAACTGACATTTTCCTGTGATTTTTCCACTGAGCGTATGTCACTCTTAATGTTCCAGGAGAGAAAGGGAAATGTCATGGTTCTCATTTCAATGCTGTGTCTGCCATTTCTTTTGCATTTGGGATAAAACATTCCCAGCAAGCATATCTTTCTGGAGCATCTATGTTTCCTAGCAGTCCATCTGGTCCTTTAGACCAGAGCCTTAGACATGACTTCACCTGGAGCCAGGAAGTACAGGACACCCTCCCTGGGGGCCACACTCCAGCAGGATGTGCCATCAGTGGGTGACTCGGTACAAAATAACCAAATGGCCAACTAGGACCAACTCGGGGACTACTGAGTGTAAAATTTGCCCTGAACAGCCCTGTTTGTGTAAACAAACCTCAATGCTTGAAGTAAAATGATGTTATGCTCAGATTTGTTTCAGCTGCCTTCACACACACCACACACACACACACACACACACACACACACACACACACACACACACTCATACGTATCCCCTAAAGAAATACATCAAAGTGGTTAACCGATTTCATCTCTAGTGAATTGAATGTGGGTAATTTTAATTTTCTTTTAAGAATGTTTCCTTATGTTTTCTCTTTTTTTAAGGATTTATTTTTATTGACAGTAAGAATATGTTCTCGGTGTGTGCAGGTGCCAAGGAGTCCAGAAGTCAGCATTAAATCGCTGGAGCTTGAGTTACAGGCGGTTGTTAGCACCTCAACACGTCTTCTGGAAGAGCAGGAAGTACTGTTAAGTACTGAACCATCTCTTCAGCTCCATCCTTATGCTTCTTCATAGCTTATAAAGAACAGCTACAAGTTTTAAGTGAGAACAGAGCAACACAAGGAGCATTCAGGAAGGGCTGGGCACTGTTGAGGAACAGCTTGGGCCTGCACTTTGGAGAACAGGGTGCTTCATGGCTGCAATCACTGCCGGTGACTGTTCATGTCGTCAACTTGACAGGATCCAGACTCATATAGGAGACAGTCCTCTAGGAACACCCGTGAGAGATTATGTAGGTTAGGTTAGCCTCTGGGCATGACTGCAAGGGATTATGTAGGTTATGTCGACGGAGGTACAAAGACCCACCTTTACTGCGGGCAACACCATTCCATGGGCTGGGGTCCTAGACTTCATACAAAGAGAAAGTGAGCTGAGCACTAGCATGCCCAACTCTGCTTCTCAGCGGTGGGTGCAATGTGACCAGCGGCCTCAAGCTCCTGCTGCCACTACATCCACGCCATGGTGGGCTGTGTCCCTCTAACTGAAATGAACCCTTCCTCCCTCAAGTGCTGGAGGAACTTAAGACAGGAGTTTTGTCAAGGCATTGAGTAAACTGATACACTGAAAGATGCCACCAGGCTCCGGGAAGAGGCCTGGCATTTCCTAAGTAGCCTCACAGCGTGGCTCCAGGAAGGATAGTGAAATGAGCAAGCTAGCTGCATACATGGAGAGCCCCAGTCCTGTGCACAGAGGCCATCACCCATTAGGGCGTGATGTCTCCCAATAGGAATCTGATGTGTGGCTGGGGTGAGTTGAGGTCATGGGTATATTCAGAACTTCTCTGCCCTGGCCTATTGGCAGGTACACTGGAATACCCCATGGGGCTCAGAGAAAAGAAGGTCGCTCAGTGACTGTCCCTATACTTGGGACTATCTGGATACCACTCACCTGTTCTGTCCCCAGGCTATGGCTGAGATATGGCACATTTCTGGGCTGTAGAGCAAGCAGTTGTCTCAGGGACAAGCAAGGTGTCTGTTGGATTTGGTCCCCCTCAAAAAGCTGCCTTGACCCTGTCTGCTCCTTTGGGGTTGAATTAGGGTAACATTCGTGCCATCTTCTCTGTTCTTAGAGGCCCTGGACACATGGCCTGTATTTTGAAGTGAGTGGTGAGTAGAGGAACATTTAAAAGGTTATGACAGACTCTGTACTCACGTGGGGTGTTCCCTGGGATCTGAATCCCTGAGGGCCCTTGCTGTCTGTCATAATCCCCACTAAATGAGAGGCTTCCTGGATCCTTGCTTTTGAGTGCCGTGGAGTCTCCCGCCCAGGTCGTGTTCAGCAACCGCAGGATGTCAGCTGGTTGAGTAGGTGTCCAGTGCCTGGGAGCCCTGATAGGGAAAAGCTTGTGTCGTGGGAGCAGCCATCTAACAGGCTCTCTCAGTGGATCCCTGAGGTCTGTCTGGCTCTGCTGTTGGGTCCTACTGCATCTTCCCTCTTAAAGGGCCTCCACAGTGCCCTCTAGACTAGTGTTTGGCTAAACACTGAGCATGGAGGACTCAGGAAACCAACCCTCCTGGCTTCTGCTGCTGACTGATTACTGGTGCACTCTGAATTCATGTTAGAACCTAACCCCCAAGAGGACTGCGTTGGGAGGTTTACTTTAGAAGTAATCAGGTCTCCAGGCTCTGTCCCTATAGACGGCCTGGAGGGATGCAGACCGCCTTCCTGACTGTTCTCTTGTGTGAGGACCCAGTGAGATCGCGCCCTCTGGAAGCAACAGCAGCCTCACCAGACACTAGACCAGCTGAGGCTCAATCATGAACTTCCCAGGCTACAGTTAAAAAATAAAATTATGGGCTGGAGAGATGGTCCAGTGGTTAAGAGCACATATTGCTCTACCTGAGGACCTGAGTTCAATTCCCAGCACCCACATCAGGCTGCCTATAACCTCAGCTCTAGGGAGATCTGACACCTCTGTCTGATCTCTGTGGGCATGTGCATTCATGTACATAATACCACATATAGACACACATGCACATAATTAAAATAAGAAAAAATAAATCTAAAAAATTCTATTGTTTATCATCTTTCAGGTCTAATATTTATTGTATCACAAAATAATGAGGACAGTTACAAAGGCCTGCTCAGGTCCTGGGAATGGTGACTGGCAGCCATTGTACCCACCGCTGGCTGCACATGATCAGGCTTGCCTGCTGCTTGCTCAAGGTGCCCACACTAAGATATATATATATATTTCTCCTCCAGACACTGTTAGAGTCCCCCACCCCACAGGGCACCACCAGGCATCCACCTCAGGAGAAGAATCCCCTCTTCCCACCAGACACAACTTTATTTAGCATATCCTGTGTCAATCAGGTATCCAGGATGCCCAGACACAATGCACAAAGATCAGGCTTTGGAACATACAGGAGCACTCTAGAGCTGATGGTGGTCCTGTTCAATAAGTCCACAGGGAAATATTCCCTGAGGCAGAGCTCTCTGGGAGGAAGCTAGAAGCTGCAGGGTCCTGGCTGAGGTCAGCAGGAAGATGTTCCCTGGCTCTGTCCTTTAAGTTCTGCCTAGAGCAAGTAAGGGCAGCAGACAGGTGCAGGGTTTATGGAGGGCACCACACACCCACATGGACAGCACAGGCCCCTAACCCTAGCCAGAGTGGAGCACATAATAATAAAAGGAGTTTATACCTGTCAGCATCGACTGACTTCATCTTGTCTCTAGTCCAATATTCACTTAAGGGGGGAAATGGTTGCTTATTTTAATGTTAAGTGTGTAAGTTTCTTCTCTCTCTCTCTCTCTCTCTCTCTCTCTCTCTCTCTCTCTCTCTCTCTCTCTCCTTGAGACAGGTTCTCCCTTTGGAACCTGGGCTCTGTGGAACTCACTACGTAGCCCAGGCTGGCCTCACATCTGCCTCTGCCTTTCAGCTGCTGGGGTTACTGGTGTGTGCCACCACACCCAGCTTAACTATGCAAATTCTGCATGCTTTAATTTTTCCATTTGCTCCTACAGCAGACATATTCTAGTCAGCAAAGAGGAAGCACCATATACTGAATCAAACGTTCAGATTTGCCTCTCTTAGGATGATGCAGAAACAGGATGGTGGGAGAGGGGACGATGGGGTGGCAGTGGGTGGAATGAGGGTCTGATTGATCCTGTCCATCCTGTCCCTGACTGCTGTCCTCCCCGCTTGTCACTCCTTCTGGCTAGGGCCCAGCTCTTCACTGGCTGGGGGTGGGGAAGGCATTTCCTTCTCTACTGGGCCCACATCTGCTGACTGGACAAGGGCCTGCATGCGATCCTTCCTGTCTATGGAGGTACCCCCAACCCCTCACAGCAGGCCCAGCTCAGGCCTGAGTGTGCTCTGTGGGAGAAGACCATTGGCAGCTCTGAACGCTGGGGTCCCTGAGCCCTTCCTATCCGTCCCTTTCTTTGTGCCTGGTGTGCCTGGTGCTTTCTCAGCTTTTTCCGCTGGGGCCTGGGCTGCAGAGGAGGAGCCGAGGCTCTGGCGCTGCCGGCTTCTCTAGGTGAGCCTGCGACAGAGGTGTTTATCATGGCTCTGCTCAGGTCAGCCTTCGTCCTTCTACAACCAGCTGCAGCGCCTCTCCCAGAGAACCTCTTGGGGGCTCTGTCATTGTCTGTCCCATAGTTCCTGCTTGTGAGGCCTGCCCCCATTCTGGATCTCTGGTCTGCCCCCCCCCCCATTCTCAGGCATAGCTGCAGACTGGCTCACCTGCACTGTCCCTGCTTCCCGTGGCATTTCTAATGCGGAGGCTGTGGCTGGGGAGGTGATGGAGGAGACCTGTCTCCCTGAGGCCTGTGTCAACTGCAACCCTAGCCCTGGAAGCCCCTCTCTCCCTCCTGTCCTCCTTCCCTGCTCCCTAGGCCCCACCCTGATTCCTGCTCAGGCACCCTGGGAGGCCCCCCCACCCCCCCCCACCCCCCACCCCCCACCCCCCACCCCCCCACCCCCCCCACCCCGCCAAGTCCTCCTTGACAGTGGCCCCTCCTTCATACTTACACCACTCCGACATCCTGTCTTCCCCGAGGCAGGTGGGACTCAGGGAAGGGGGTTGATCTGAAGACAGTATTGTTTCTTGCTGCTAGGTAGTCAGCTTGGGAGAGTGGTACCACTTTCAAGGCTCTCAGCCAGGTCTGTGCTTGCCTTGGTGACCCTGTCGCCGCCCACCCCACCCGCTTGTTTGCTAAAGGCAGTTAGTTTACCTGAAGGCTCCAGGGCAGGAGTGGTGCATTGCTGGCTGGTAGCAAGCTTGGCTCTGGGCCCATGAGGCTGCAGCCAGGAAGTCTCAGACCTGCGGAGAGAGAACACAAGAGTATTCCAGAAACCCAATACACTGCCCACACGCACACAGCTCCTCAAATATATCTGTGTACACACAGACGTACAAACAGACACAGAAAGATACATACACCCACATGGATTTAGAGGCACACCAAAGCCCAGTGCACACAAGCTCACACATCCGTACGGAGGCTTGGAGAACACAGACCCAAGACACTCAGACATGCACTCCATGAAGATCCCAAATACAGAACTCACATGGGAATGCTTCACACACAGTACCACATACTCACATGAGTATTCTTGTGGACACACATACACATGTGCCTCCTCACCCCCCTCACTCCTCATCTCACTACACACAGACACACACCTTCCCTCTGGAGCATCCCAGCCTACACCCACTGAAGCCCCAAGGGGCACAGGCGTGTTGGTCTGGCAGCTAGCTGCAGTTTCCTAGGAAACGCTGTCACCACCATGTCTTGCAGAGCCTGGGGAGGCCTGGGGCATATGCTGGATGAGCTCAGAGACTATCTGGAGCTCAAACTACCAGGGATGTGCCAGATGAAGAGGAGATGCTCCCTCAAGGACCCAAGTAGACAAGTATCACTCCTTTAAGCCCAAAGTTTTGCTACCCTTGGTACCTTGTGCTAGAACCTGAAAAAGAAAGCTGGTATGGGTACTCTCTTCCCACCTATCTGTCTCCACTCTGGTCTGTGGTGTCCACAGAGTGCTTTTGTGCATGAAACACCTGTTTTACTAGAGATTTAAAAAAGAAGAGAAAAAGCCATGGAAAGGAGGATCTGAAGAAAGAGACCTACAGTCCAACTTTGCCCAGAAGGAGCAGGATGAGGGTAGAGAGCTATGAGGCCCAGTACACACAGAAAGGAACAACAGTCTTGGGGGGGGGGGTCCTGACGGGAGCCTCATTCCCAGTTTCGCCCCAGAGTAACCTTAAGTGTGAGTTCACATGCTGATGGAGACCAGGCAGGGCTAGAGGATGAGAGAGAGTCCTAGGAATGTTGACAGGATGCCCACTCTATCCCATGGTTGCCAAGCTACAGGGTACAAAACATGTCAGGGCCTGCCATCGGGGCTTTCTGTGGGGCATAGGGGTGGCTTCCAGGGGGCCTGGATGCCGGCAAGCAGTGGATGGCTCAGAATGATAATCATGGAAGGCTGGAATGAGCATGCAGTAGACCCCACCCTTCTAACTAGAAGGGTCTTTGGCATATCTGATCCCCAGAGCATCCGCAAGCCGAGAGCTCTGTGTGGATGGAGTATCAGTCACCAGAAAAGGGATGGAGACATTTATAGGCAGAATTCCAACTCTATTTTCTTCCTACACTGGATGCCAACCCCTGGCTCTGGCTGGCCCTGAGTTCTAAGACCTGCAGGGGGCAGGGAGTGTATGTGCTTCCTGAAGGTAGGAAGTTTAAAAAACAAGGGTAGAAAATGCAGAATGAATAGACAGGGTAGGAGAGAGCAGAAGAGGACCTGGGAGGGCAGAACGTGGAGGCCCTGGGCAACTGCACAGTCTGAAACACCACCAAGAACAAGGATGCCTAGTGCTGGCAGGACTCTCAGGGCCACCCTGTCACTTCCTTTCTACGTCAGTATTCTCCCTTCTCTGGGTCTGTATGTCCGTTCACACAGTACACACTTCTCTACGTGGGGTCTTGATCAATAGGAGTCAGCCCCCCCCCCCCACCTCATCTACCTGGCTTGCCAGCAGTAATGACAGTGACTACGACCCTGATAAAGGTCACGGTCATGATGGTGGTGATGATGAAGACATGAAGATGGTTGTGATCGTGCTTAGGTTGAAGATGAGGGTGTCAAAGATGATGGTTATGATGACGGTGATGGAGTTCAAAGTGCTAATGAAGATGATGTTAGAGGTGATTGTGATATGGTGTTAGCGAAGATGATGGAGGTGTTGATGGTGATAATGGTGGTAAGACCATGGTTCTGGTGATAGTGGTGAAGATGAAGATAATGATGATATTGATGATGGTGGAGCTCCTGCAACCAACTTCTTAGGCCTCCAGCATGCAGCGACCAGTGACACTTGATGCTTGTTGGATGCCTGGGGTCCCTGGAATGGATTTCTCCCTTTCCCTCTTGGGGTTCTTAGCCACTGTCTTTGAGTCACGGGAAGACAGTGAAATGGAACCATCCTGGTTGCTGTGTGAGTAGGCATTAATCACACCTCCTGCCACTGAGCGTAATCAGCTTCTCCTCATCAATCTGCTTTTTCTCAGGGCAGATCAGTGAATTCACTGAGCCATTGTGCAGACAGCAGTCAAAGCCCACCTGGTGCTAATGAAGGTGGAGTTTCAAAAACAGCATGTTTGATTTTGAAAACACATTTTTTTATCCCTGTTAGCATTTTATTTCTTCTGATTCACAATATTTCCATATGTCTATAGAGTAGAGACTTAATCCATGGGGACTAGGAACTTGGACAAGGAAAACTAACATTTTATGTTCACTGATTTCTGACTCAAATAGTCATTTCCTTCTCTTGAGAATATTAGCAGCTTTGGAACTTCATTTCCAGTAGATAACATGCGGTCACCTCACTTTATCGTTGCCTTGAGTATTTCAAGCGCTGCCCACTCTCACTCCAGGCTCAAAGCCACGGGGATGGTCTGAGGAATATGGGTCTTTGATACCCAGTGCGCCTTGGAGTAAACACATCACTATTCCCCACACCTGTGCTGTTGATGTTTTAGCAAATGTGCCACTGGAACTGGAGCTCTTCGTGGTCTTGTGTGTTTGTTCACTTGAAACGGTGGATTGCAGAATTTGTGGACAGAGGCTTGTGTATGATGCTGCAATGGAAGATGTGACAGTGTGACTATGCCCAAACCCATTGAATGTGCAGCTCCGAGAGAGAGTCCACTCTCATGTGGTGAGCAGATGGCTGTCGGTAACAGTGTCGATACCAGCTCTGCCAGACAAGTCACCCCACTGCCAGAAGTGAAGGACAGGGGAACCACGAAAAGTACGCGGGACTCCCCAACTATTAGTTCACTTTGTATAAATCAAAGACAACTCTAAAATATTAAGTCTATTACCGTGTTTGCATCTATTAATTGTGAAATAAAAAAGATCCCTTGGCTGCCAAAGCAGTCCCCCACCCACCCACACATACCACCTTGGAGCAATGCAGGGGTCTGGGAAAGAGGCCCTGGGCCAGGCCAGCAAGTCCACCACCAAATGACCTGCAGCCTGTGTCTACCGGAACAGACTGCTGTTTGCCTCTGCATTTAAGGAATAAGGCTTGGAATCATGGAGTCACTGCAGATGAGAAATCATCGCCAGCTATAAACACAGCATGGGCATGCATGGAAGGCACCGTCACACTACCCCCTCCCCCCACACGCGTGCCAGAATCAGCCAGCAGCCCTGCTCTTTGACACACCTGCTATCTCCATCCCCAGCTATGCATGCAGATCTGAAATTACTTTCTAACATCAGTGTTTCCCGTTCCGAATGCACACGCGCTTCGGTTTCAGCCATCACAGTTATAGTAATTAAACCAAAAAGCTCAACTCTGGGAAGGGGCAAGGTGTTTCCAGTTTTGGCATCGATAACACAATTAACATCTGTCCAACATTCTAGGCACTGTGCTGGTGGGTAAAACAATTTTCACTCCCAGTAAACACTAACCCAACCACAAAGCCCCAGAGAGGGCAATACATTTTCCTGTGAAGGATCAGCTGCGCAGCGGTCTGTGGGTATGGAGCTTGGTAGGGTTGTTTTCTTCTGTGTTTTAAAAATCCCAGAACCAAATGCAGCTCAACAATCAGGCTAAGTGATTAGTCTGCCATAGAGCTGATGTGATTGAAGCTAGACTTGAGCACGTTAAACATTTCAGAGGAAAACGTACAATATGTGAGGAGGATGCTGCCAAGCCAAGAAGGGGCCTGTTGTCTGTAGGAATGCTGCCAGTTAGCAGGAGCTCTAGGGAACAACGTGTAAGACGGAATACTTACAACCAGTCCATCTCCAGGCTGAGAACAGCACCGTGCCGCACCTTCTGCAGACCCTAAACCATGTGTGATAAGATTACAGGCAGGAGAAGACACAGCAGGGCCAGTGTGGACTGCGCTTAATGCAGCAGGTACCGTGTGCCCAGACTCTGCCTGCTCCGTGTTCACCGCGGAGGCTGGGAGTGTGTGCCCTGGCCCCAAACTGCCAGCACAGGAGGAAGCTCAGCGCAAGGAAGGGGATGACTCTGAATCTAGTGCCGTCCTGGGTGCTACCCCGAAAGCATGCTACCATGAACCCGGGACACCATGCAAGACTGTGCCTCCTGCCTCAGCACTGGCCTAAGGCACTCAGAACAGCATGTCTGCAGCAGGAATATCTAGAGTGCCTGGCTGGGCCTCCCGCTAGGGTTACCATCCCTCGCGACCACCCTTAGCAGCTAATCTGGTCTTGTGGGCTGGATGCCTCCAAGTCTGAGACCTGGGAGCCAAGGCACAGCTCAGTCCTGCCCTTAATAGAGCTGGTAGCTGGCCACAGTGGCTCCCCTGTCACTGGAAGTCACCACCATGGCTGCTGTCTGAAAATGACATGTAGCTGCGACCCACAGGACCCAGTGACCATATACAAACCCCTGTCCACACAGAAACCCGTGCACCAGCGTTCTTGGCAGCTTAATTCACAATGGCGCAAGGTCTATCAACAGATGGGCTGTCGGGTCAGCAGAATGGGGGTGTTGTGGGGGCACGTTAGAGATAAAGGATGTTCCCAGCCTGTGCATCACCCTGGGTTCAATTTCTATCACTTCAGAAAAACACCGACCCAAACAACAAAAATCTTACTGTGAAATGTGGCACGCCCACATGACAGAGCATTCTTCAGGCTTAGAAAGGCTGGAGCGTGGAAGTATACAGGTAACGTGGATGAACCTTGGTAACACACTCAGGGGATGAAGACCCAAACCATGTGCAGTGTGACTCCATGGACACAGGACATGAACGTCTAGGATAGAATGACTCTTGTGGCAGAAGTCAGAGTAGTGGCCATTGAGGTCTGGGGGTAACACAGTTAAAAAGTACGGATTTTCCTTCAGAGGACATGGTGATGTCATCAAATAGACTATAGTGTTGTGTGTGCCTGTCTGTGAACACACTAAATAAAACCCACTCATTGTACCAACCACTCAGCAAGCCCCTCAAATGGTCAGGTTGGACCTCTGCGGTGAGTGGCTACCGGGAAAGACTCATACTTGACAAGGTCCATCCAGGGCCCCCATGGGCTGGTGTCTTCACTGCTGGTGTCACCTGCTGGGTCCTGGCCTTCCCGTTCCATGCAGGACTGAAGAAGGTGGACATGCTTTGTGTGGCTTCCCGCTGATCTTCCAGGGACCTTCTTGATGAGCTGTATGACTTGCATAGATCTGTCCCAGAGTAAGTGTTGCTGAGTGTGCATCCTGCCGTGTGTGCACTCATCTCTCAAACCCTCTCCTGTGCAAGGATGTAACCCTTCTGCAAGGTTGGGAGCATGAGGACCCAGTCCTGTGCTCCAGAAACCCTGGACCTCTCAGGCCCGTCTGCCCCAACCCCTCTTCCTCCCTCCTACCTGGGACTATCCCGTCACTACCACTACATGGGCCTTGCTATCATGTCTCCCGTAGAGTCCAATCAGCACATGCCCCTTGTTTCTATGAGCAGCTGCCTCTCTGTCCTAATGTCCACCCTCAGACTGCTATGGTCCCAACTTGTGATTCCCACCTATGCCCTACAGACTAGGCCTCATGCTGTGACTGCAACTGCTCTCTTCAGACTGACATTCCAGCTCCTCAGCCTCTACTGTCCCCTCTAGCTGTGGACACTGAATCTGTTCTGCTATGGGCTTCATTGGGCCCCACTCCCAGGCTCCATCTCTCAGTTGGTCAGGAAGGTCAGGAATACCACTCTTCCTGCCACTTCCTAGAATCACAAGGAAGGAAGCCCTCCCTGTGCCCTCCGGTGGTCAAAGCCTGCCTACCCTAGGAAGGGCTTCGGGTAGATCCCAGTGCAAAATCCAAGGCAGTGTCAGGCAGGGCAGGAGCTAAAAATAAACCAGCTGGGGCAGAGGCTGGTTGGCGCCTCCGGAGGGGGGCGGGCAGGAAGGGGGTCTGGGCTGGTGACAGCAGTAGCCATAGTCGTAGGAAGAGCAGGAGGGGCCGCTGAATCTTCCTTGAATCCACAGAGGCTGCGGGAGGAGGAAGTCAGTCCTGGATCAGACCTGTGGGCAGCTCCCCCTCCAGCCACAGCCCCTCCTTCTGGCTAGGCATTGGTCAGCTCTGGAAGCTTCTTTGGGTTTCTGGGGCACCAAACAGCTTAACCCTCCTGAACAGATGACAGCCAGGGACAGGCCCAACCTAGCTATTCAGACAGCCCACCCCCACCTGTGTGTGTGGTGTGTGTGTGTGTGTGTGTGTGTGTGTGTGGTGGGTATGGGTGTGTGCTCTGCCGTGTGTAGCTTCTCTCTTCCTGGCTCACTCCTTTCCATGGCAGACAGGGACAGCGGAGGGGGAGGCTCCCATGGGAGTCAATCCCATTTAGGCCCTTGCTCTTTCTGCAGTGTCCAGGGGGGTAAGACGCCATCAAACACCAGGCAACTGGGAGCAGCCCCAGAGCCTGGCAGGCAGGGGGAATCCCAGGACATGGGGAGACATGGGGAACATGGAAGGGAGAGCCAGGCGGAGCTTCTTGGTGGCAGGAGGCCAAATCTGAAGAGCAAACATCTGTGAATGCCAGAAGTCTCTCTGAGAACCGAGCGCAAAGCACATATGGGCGGAGCCCACCTACTTTTATCTTCTTTTACTTTATTTTACTAATTTTCTACCTCCAACAGTGGTGACCTCAGAGTTAGAGGAAAAAGAGGCCCTGCAGAAACCACACCAGGGTGTGGCACCACGGGCAGCATCTGGAAGTGTCCAGGTTTGGGGCCTTCCTTCTCAGTGGACAGAGACCAGGAGTTAGTTGGGGGCGGGGGCGAGGCTAAGCCTTCCCTTTTTGTATAGTTATAGTACAGGGCTTCAGGCTTGATGAAGCCCACAGGGACGACTCTGCCCTTGTCCCTTCCCCTCTCCTCCTTCCTCCTTAGTCACGAGAGACCCAAAAGGGCTAGGCTGCGGGGCCAAGGGGGTATGTGTGCGCACAGGAGTAGCTAAGGTGGCCCCAAGGAGTGCAGGGCCAGGTCAGGTCTGTCCTGGGGCCAGAAGTTCTGCTGTCCAGGCCTCTGTCCAGCCTCACCCTGCCCCACATTGCCAGGCTACAGTCCCAGCACCCACAGCCTCCAGGGCCATCTGAGCAGGCAGGTAAGGACATGCCTTGGCTGCAACATGGAGGCGCAGAGGGAGTAGAAGGTTGGTAGAGGTGGGTAGGAGGAGCTCAGGCAGGGGTAGGGGTTAGGGAGGTAAAAGACAGAACAGAGTCCCTGTGCATGCTTGGGATACTATTACTTGGGGCTCCACCCACAGATCCTCCATGTCACTCTCCATCCAGGCTGTTCAGTATCAGAGTAGTGACAGCTGGCCTCAGCACCTGACAACTGATCGCCAATCCTGAGGGAAAGAAGGGATGATGGAGTAAGAGCTGGTTGTAGAACAGGGAGGGTCATGTCACTGCTTCACATGAAGGATGCTGGATGTCTGACTGGTGGAATAAAGTCTGCTCTTAGGTTGTCACTATTCTGGGAAGGAATTATACCAGCCCCCCCCCCCCAACCTGGCTAGAGTCCCACTCATACCCACTGGCATCTGAAGGTGAAGGTGTTGGAGCTTCTCCAGTGGCACTCTGGGGTGGATGATGGAAGAGACCCAGCCAATTTCTGCTCTAAGTGGATCATCTCTTTCCTGTGGGAGTCCATGGGAGTGGGAGGGACTCAGTACCAGCTCTCTCTGCCCATGTCTCCAAATTCCCACAGGACACACTCCCCACACTCCTGGCTAGTACCTGAAATCCAAGTGTTTGCTCCTGTCATCTTCCTGGGAGCTCCCCGTCCCAGTGAGCAGAAAGGGAGCTAGTAACCTTGGATAGCCATCCTGTGTATCAGAAGGAAGCATTGGCAACAGGGCCTGGAGGCCATAGTGGGTGTGTCATCTGAAGCCAGAGCAGAGCATGGCACCCAGGGCAGGTGAGTAGTGAGAGCCACACGGAGTGGCTACCCACCACTGGCTACACAGAAGCATGCCATGTCAAGCATTCCAGGCCTCCTTGTGGGGAAGAAGGCTTTGTGTCAGGGGTTCTCCAAGGGGTCATTCACCAGGACTAGAAGGAGAGTCACCCAAGAGTTGTTTAGAAGAGGCAGGTGTTACCTTCTGGGGACCCTTCCATTGGGGTCAACCTAGGGGTAATGGCCTTTCCCCACTATTCCCCAGTCTCCTGTGCACTACCATGAAATCAGACTCAGAAAGCACCACAAATGTTCTTCTTAAAAAGACGTTCTCAATGACTTCTTAATGAAACTGCTTGCACTTCTCATTAGATCTGAAGCATCATCTAGGCCCCAGGATAGCTGCTCTCCCCAGGCTTGGGGGGTGGGTGATAGGCAGCATAGGCTAGCTTAGGATTCTAGGACTATCTTGACCACCCTTCCTGAAAGCTTTGATGCCCTGAGCCTCTGAGGTTGTGGACAGCTCGAGGGGGCACTGGCCTTCTGTGGGCAAGCAAGGGTCCCAACTTAGGAAGTGAGCAGGATCAGGTTGCATCAGGGTTCTAGGGACTGACCCAGCCATCCGTGTGAGTACTGCGTACCTCATTGGCTTCTCTAAGAAGTGCTACCAAGGGACCTGAGAGGGACTTTCATGGTCCTGAAGTCTGGGAAATGTCAGGCATGCAAGAGTTCCTTCTGTTTTAGTGATAGGACTCCCCAGTGCCCTAGGGTGTTGAGTGTACAGGTATGCAAAAAGGTAGTGCTTTCCACCTGTCCTGGCTAGTTCTATGTCAGTGTGACACAAGCTAGAGTCACTGGAGAGGAGGGAGTCTCAACTGAGAAAACTCTCCATAAACTGGGCTGTAGGCAAACCTGTAGGACATCTTCTCAGTGATTGACGTGGGAGTTCCACTGTGAGTAGTGCCATTCCTGGGTTGGTGGTCCCCAGTGCTATAAGAAAGCAGGCTAAATAAAAACCCCTCTCCTTACACCTCAGGAAACTCCACAGAAGAGGAGGCAGAGAGTGTAAGAGTCAGAGGTGACAGAGGACTCCAAGAAATCAGAGCCCTCTCAATCAACATAAGCAAAACTCATAGGAACTCAGAGAGACTGAAGCGCCATGCGCAGGGCCTGCATGGGTCTGTACCAGGTCCTCTGTGCTCATAATATGGCTTCCAGTTTAGTGTTTTTGTAGGACTCCTGAGTATGTGAATGAGAGTCTCTCTCACTCTTGTGCCTTCTCTTGGGCTCTTTTCCTTCTGTTGGTTCGTCTTGTCCAACTTTGACGTGATAGTTTTTTTAATCTTATATTTTATTGCTATATTTTAAAAAATGAATGAATGAAATTCTAGCCACTAGGGTAAAGGCTAACAACTGAACTGTCATTTAGACCTGCTGGGAGAGGGAAAATCAGTTTTCTCCAATGGAGTGACACTGGGTATCTTAACCATTCCAGGGCAGGCCTCATGTTCAAGAGTAGTTGACAAACGTAATGCCACAGGTTTTGTTGTGTGTGTGTGTGTGTGTGTGTGTGTGTGTGTGTGTGTGTGTGTGTGTGTGTGTGTTTATTTGGTTATAGTTTGATGGGTTTTTTTGTTTACTTTTTTGGTGGATCATTTTCTTGATTTGCGGGGGCTGTTGTTCTAGAGAGGGGAAGAATATGATCAAACATACTTAAAGTTAAAAATTATTTTAAATAACAAAAATACAATAAAAATTCTTTTAATTTTAAAAAAAAAAAAGGAAAAAGAAAAAAGAGCTGGACAAGCCAGAGGGAGCAAGCCAGTAAGCAGTCCCCTTCCATGGTCTCTGAATCAGTTCCTGCCTCCAGGTTCCTGTCTTAACTTCCTTCCATGATGGACTATGATGTGGAAGTGTAAGAAGCCAAATGAACCCTTTCCTCCAACTTGCTTTTGGTCATGGTGTTTCATCGTGGCAAGGGTAACCCTGACTAGGACATCACCTTCCATGGCCAGGCACAGGATAAGTATTCTAGAGGCACCCCACACCTGGAGAACTACTTTTCATTGCAGTTTCTCAGTTCTCTAGGATAAGGTGCCCAAGGCCGACTGCTCTGAGATCCACCAGGCAGGGCAGCTTGCAGAGCCCTCGGAACACGTGGGAAGGACAACATCTGACCCCATCCTCTGATGTCCAGAACTGAGTTCTAAGAGTTGTGCTCACACTGCTCTGATGTAGACCTCGTTTTCACAGACACCAGTCCTTGCCTGTGTCACTGGCCTAAATCCTGTCAGAAGCTCTGGCCTAGTAAAGGTTGTGCGTGGCTGAGAGTTGCCCAGTGGCAGGTGCTCCTGGGCCTCAGCTCCCTTAGCAGAGACACTGGGCGCCTAGAACAGTACCTGCCCAATAGGCTGGGCTAAAAGGGGATGCCTGGAAACAGACTCTTCCACTTTGTTGAGGAAACTGGTCTTCCCTCCTCAGGTTCCACCAGCCTCAAGCCAGAACTTGTGGTTCAAGAATGTGGGTGCTAGAGACAGCTACGGGCAGAGGACAAGGCCAGCCCCCTCTGAGTTGGGGTAGCCCGGGTATAGCACTCACACATCATGCTGGTTTTTTTCTTCAGTCTTCAGTAGAGCCTGGGACAGGTGCCAGTGGCCTTTCCTGGTCTGTTTTTTGTTTTTTTCTGAGACAGGGTTATGTAGCCCTGGCTGGCCTACACCTCCCTGTCAGATCCTTCTGCCTCTGACTACTATACCAGCTCTGGACTAATGCTCTTGAAGAGGTAGGTAGAATGCACTCCGTAGACAAAGTACAGACCAGTCTACTTGGTTCTGTTTGCTTCATATATATCCCCACCCTCCTGCCCAGCAGAGCAGGTCTCTGGAAGAGACAAACCCCTGTCCCAGGCCCCACATGGCAGGGTCCACTTGGCTCAAGATAGTTGGAGGCATGAATTCCCCCAGCTCAGCTTTTCCTGGGGAACCCCTGAGAGGAAGTCTATCAACTAAGGACATGGTATAGCATGTGACTACAGGGCCCCTGGTTGGCCAGAGGCTGAAACTCACTCTTCCTAGGTTGTAGGACAGATGTGGGGAAGCCATGCCCAGGAAACAGCTGTAGGTGGCTCTTCCACCCTCCTCTCCCAGCCTCAGAACGGGGTGGGGGTGGGGGCCACAAAGGCAAGGCCGACTGCTCTCATTCCTCCAAAGCCCCCTCTCATACAAGGTCCCCACTCCTACGTGTGCATTTTCAGCAGTCCTTGGGGCCAGACACTGGGGCTCTGGGGGAAGAGCTGTTGCTCTAGCCATGAGCTGGCTGCACAGGGAACCCCAGAATCTCCCATTCACCAAGACATATCCCTCCTGACACAAGGGCCTCCAGGATGATGGGGAGAGACCTGAAAATAGAGAGATGGTGTATATATAGGGTCTTGGGGGCAAGTCTCTGGTATCACTTCTTCCTGGGGGGCTTGAACGTGGAGAAGGCTTTGCTGCTACAAAAAGTTGGGAAAACATTCTCCTGACTCCAAAGAGCAGATCCAGAACCTCAGGACACAGTTAGAGCAGCCCTTGGGCTAGTCAGTAATGGATCTGCATCAAGCCTCTTCTCCTTCCTGTGCTTGGAGAAGGCCTTGAAGACAACCAGTGCTCCCATCTTGCCCACAGGTTCCTCCTGAGGGCTATGGCACCCTCAACACCCGGAATATTTTCCATTAAAATCAGGAACGGGAAAAGCCACTACTGCAATCTCAGGACATCCTTTAACTCTAATTGAGCAAAGGGAGAAAAGGGAGGCGGAAGGCTCCACAGGAGGAAAGAGCCAAACCATTCCAGGCCCAAGCCTCTGCCTGAGGGACTCAGGGTGGACCAGAGAACCAGGAGGGAGGCCTGAGGCAGGAGACTGAAGCCACCACTTGGAGCAAAGAGTGGCCGCTTGCTTCAAATTTGCATCCCGTCAGGTGACTGTGAATGAGCAATACGACAGGCACACCACCACCTTGACAGGGGTGGCCACGGCCCTTCTTCACCCCATCAGAGGGCGGTACCCTCCCTCACAGGTCAGGCAGGTGCCCTTTTGAGGCTATTCAGGCAAGAGCCTCAACCCAGACTCCTGTTTATTCCTCTTCACGCTTAAACAAAGGGGCAGAGACAGTTTTCTTTTCTTTCTGTTTTCTTTTTGGTCTGGAAAGTGACAGAGGAGAAAGGAATGTGGCCTCACAGGGCAGAGCTGGTATGTCCTAACCTGAGGCCTGTTTTCAGTTCTGCCCTTCCCCTTTCTCTCCCCCTCACAGTAGGTGACATAGCAGCATCTCAGATCTAGGCGGCCTTGCCGGCCAGGGCTGGGAGCCCAGGGGCCCATGCTTTGAGAGGAATGTGGAGGAGACCCAACTAGATTCCTGGCTCAAGAGCACAGAGACCCTATACCCCAGGGCTGGAGAAGAACCTCAGACGTGCGATTTGGTTTCCTCAAGCCTGCAAAGCGGCTCCAGCTGAATAGCCGAGGCCAGGCCCAGGAGGGTGCCCTGTACCCACGCAGAAGTCTCACAGGCTGGGCAGAAGGCCCTGCTTCTGTTTGAGGGTGCCCAAGCCTGGCAGCTGCTCACACACAAAGCAGCAAACATGTCACCAAGCTCCAGGACACTTCTCAGCTAGGAATGCCGAAGCCTGAATCAAAGGGAACAGATACATTCAGCCGAGAGGAGCCAGGTGCCCTGAGCTTGGCTCCTCCCCATGCACACCTGCTCCTCTGGGGACCCGGAGTCAGGCCAACCACTGTGCCCAGCATGTTTCTGCACACAGCCAGCCAGAGGCACAGGGGCCCCTCGGACAGAAGTTCCAGGACAGCAGCTCCACCCTCAGTGTCGGTGACCTTGAGAGAAGCAGAAAAGGTAGATGTTACCGAGGGTCAGTTGTAGGGAGCAGGACCCTAGAGGGTCCAAGCACTTCCACGTTTGCATCAGAGTCTTCTCAGCCTTGGGCTCTACGGCTTTGCAGAGTCCCTAAGGCTGCTCAGTTTCCCCACCAGCCCTCACCATACCTCTCTTGTTCTCACAACCTGAGGTACCAGTGCTTAGCCATGCTTGAGGAAAGCAGAGGATCTTAGATAGTGGGAGGCTTTGACCACAGGATCAGCCAAGTCCAGTAGGAGGGCCAAACACTGGGACACTGTGGTTCTAGCAATGAGCTCACTGCACAGGGAATCCTGGGCTCCCCATTCACCAGGACATGTCCTCTGCCCCCAGGGTGAAGGAGGGCAGACCTGAACACAGATGATGAGTGTGTGTGTGTGTGTGTGTGTGTGTGTGTGTGTGTGTGTGTGTGTAGATGGAGGGGGCTGTGGCACCAGCCCCAGGTGTCTGGCTTACAGATACAACCATTCTGCAGCTCCGGGCCTGACCACTGCTACTACCCAGGGAGCACAGATATCTGTAAGCATTATGCTTAGTTGAGGTGTTTTGGAGAAATGTGTCAACTCAGCAGTTTTAAGCTAAAATGGATACCTAATATGCCTGAAGCACTGAAAGACTTCTCTTCAGAGCTGCAGATAGATAGGCAGGCAACAGGACTACAAAGCAAATCAGACAGGAAGCAGGGCCACAGCAAAGTTCGGAGAGCAGAATCCTGTATGATCTGCAGTGATGGGTTCCGTTTACGCACACAAACCCCGACTCTCATCAGCAAGCCAGGTTTCTGAACATGTTGATGGAGAAGAATGCTCAGAGAACACAAAATCCCCATCTTCCCTGGGGAAAAGACTATAGGGAATGCCCAACCTGGGAGAATCTAGAAACCAGGGGCTGGAGAGACTGGCTGTGCAAATTTGAGGACTGGAGTTTGGAGCCACAGCACCCAGATGGGTGTGGCAACTACCTGTGATCCCACTGCGGAAGGCTTAAAGGGATCCTCTGCTTGTGTACATATACGTGCATGTTCGCGTGTGTACACGTGGACACACTGAACAATTGCAGCAGCTCAGCAATCTGCCCAACCAAAGGACCTTGGTTCTCTGGGCCCCTGGAGGCTCTTGAGAATCAGAGGAACTCAATTCATCAAGATGCATTATGTTAGTTAGAAAGTCACGTGCAAACAGGTCCTGGGGCGAGGAGCCTCTCCCATCACCCTAGAAGCAAAGTAAAGGAGGCCCATAAATATACCACACAGCTCTCTTGGTGCTCAGCATTCTGACCTACCCTGGCCCCACAGGCTGACCTACATCCAGGCTGGAACACATGTGAGGAGAGACAGCCTCTGTGGGTAGGGAGTCCCAGATCTCTGAATGGCCTTGGCATGCCTGTAAGGTCTAGGGTCTGTGCAGATGTAACAGGTATAGTGGGGGGTGGGGGGGGGTAGCATGACTTAAAACCACTTCTCCTGCCGCTTCTAATGAGTGCTTTAAGGTTTGAAAGGGGCTCATATTGAGGCCATCCATGCTTTACTGAAAAACAACAACAACATAAAAACCTCAGCCTTGGGAGACAGTTAAAACTAAGTTTCTCTCATCACCATAGCCTGACCTTTGGAAATGTCCTTAAAACATCCAGCAGTAGAAACCTTCATTGGGGGGAAAGGACAAGCTTTGAGAGGAGCCTGCTCCTGGCCTCGAGCCTCTCTTTGTCCTACAACTGTGGCCTTCAAAGAAGCCTTTCCCTCCCACTCTCAGGGAGCTGGCCCCTTACCAGCATTGGGACCAGCATGGCAGAGCAAGCCTCGAGGCTCTGGGTTGCTGACACGCGAGAACACCAGGCCACCCCAGAAACCTACAGAATATCAGACTCATCCTACCCCAGCCCATCCCACCCTGCAGCTTGGGGCACCTCTCTACCCAAATCCAGCTTTCTCCATAGCTAAGAAACCTAGGGGGCTCACCCTTCAGCTCCCCAAAGAAAGGACAGGAACAACCCAAAAGTAGTTGCTGTTTGCCACTGCTCAGCCCTCAGAGGATAGTGTTCATGAGCTTGCTTATGTAAAGATCATAGAGACAAGCCTCCCAGACTAGGGTGCTGACTCTGAGAGGGTCAGGAGGGACCATGAGGGATGCCAAGCAGAAATGCTCACAGCATGACAAGACACGGCTAGACTTTAGAAATACAATAACGAATGCAAATGAAATAAACCTGTATTGCTGTGTTTGTGTCACAACTTGACTCAGAAAGGAATTGTCCTCAAGGCCTTTGAAACACAGGAATGTGGAGGTCCTAGACGGTTGTGTCATCTATCATCTGGACAACCTTGGTGGCCAGCCCTCCTGGTGGACGACATTAGTGGTCTTATATCCTAAAACTATCATACTGTATTGTAATGCAGTAAAAGATATGTATAACATGCATTACTAAAAGCAATTCAATTTTGCATATGTAAAATTAGTAATTGTATTATTATACTACCACTAGGAGTCAAAGCTTTGCTATAAGGAAAAAAAAAAAAAAAAGTAACCCCCAGTGTTAACCCCAGAAGCCAGTAAACAATTCAGGAGTTAGAGCAAGCCGGGAGCATTGAGCAGCCTGGGCCCAGGCCTGGGCCCTCAGGAAGTGTGAGCGCCTCAGGCCTGGCCAGAAAATGTAGAGTGCTAGAGTGGGATGTTGGGTGTGGCAGGAAGCCAGGCTGCTGCCAGATGCCGTGGTCACCGAAGGCCTGGGGCTGATGGACTGAGTGACTTAGGGTGGGCAATCTCAGCAGCGGAGGAACTCCTGCTGGCCGGAAGCAGTGGGGCATGTTGACAAGCACTACACTGTTAGGGAACACTGGCTTAGGACGCAGCTCCTGAGTCACTGGACAGCTGCCCTGTCAGTCTGTCAGGGATCTACCCATGGTTCAGCCTGGCCTTGCAGGATAGCCACTGTGCCCGAACACGCATGGTTGGGGAAGGAAGACACAGTCAGCTCACCAGTGACTAGGTGAGCCTCGAGACCACCACGAGCGGTGGGGACTGGAAATATTCTCTATGGATAGCAGGTTATGTGATAACCTCAAGTCTGCACTTTGACTGACCAAAGGGAGTAACTTCTTGATGGGCAGTCCAAGGAGGGGTCTACGAGACGAAGCCCAAAGCAGGGAGGGGCAGGGACCAACATATAGAGATGGGGGTTGAGACCACAGCCTCTCGACAGAAAACAGCCAGTACTTGGCCCAAAACGGGTAGGAACGTTCAGAGACTCTGGAGAGGGCCCATGAAGCCCCAGACACTTTAACACCTGCTCTTCCCATTTACCTGCCCCCAACTGTCCTGTCGGCCTGCCTGCAGGCTCCCACACCATACCCAGTGGCAGTGGCAGGGACAGGCCACTGGGAGCCAGTGGGTGGGAAGGCCTGAGCCCCTGTAGAAGGCCTGGAATTATAGGCCTTAGTTTCCTTCTGGAACAAAATAATTACAACCTTCCCAGAGGACCTGAATTCCCTGAAAGCAATGCAGAAGTCAGCTGACAAGCCATGGGGGGGGGGGGGGGCGCAGAAGTGCTAGAAGAGCGAGCTGGTTTGGTGCGTTCCACTAAAGGATGCTGTTCAAAGACTGGATGGGGGAGACACTGCGGGGATGGGGGTGGTGCACAGTGCACTTGGGGTCTGGGGGGCATGTCCTCCTTTCCACCCAGCAGGCACAGTGCACTAGCACCTGCAATACACTGGATCCTGATCATATCTACTTTCCCAGGAGAAATAAATGTCAAGAAGCAGGAAGGCGAGAGGGGCCACGATGTTCCCTGAACTGGCTGTCTCAAACGCCTTCACAGACGGATCTTTCTGGAACAACAATTCCTTCCCTCACAGCACAGACCCCCTGGAGCTCCGCACCATAATGGCTCTTTGCAGGTGCTCCTGTCCAATCAGGATGGTGTGGTGGGGCACAGAGGCAGTGGCTCTTGCTGCCTCCGTGGGCCCAGGGACAGTCTATCCTTGAAGCTCAGCCTTCTCTCTGCTCCATGAGAGGCTGGGCACAGACAGTGTGTGCAGGTATTCCAACGACCAATAAGCTGGGAATGTTGACCGGAAGGGATGGGTGAGAGGTGGACAGCACCCCACAGACCTAGACCCTAATGTCTGTAATCTGTTCATGTCAGCTTCTACCACACACTTCTGCAGATATAACCCAATTAGGTGTTTCTAAGATGATTATACTGAACTCTGTAGGTGGGCCCCCAAAGTCATTATGGGTCCTTGTCAGAAGGGCAGCTTACGATACCATGCTGAGGAAGAGGAAGGAGCTCCAAGATTACGGAGGCAAACTAGAGGGACACGGCCACAGCCAGCAGCTCCTGGAGCCACCAGGAGCTGGAGAGTTGGCTACCCTCCCCAGCTTTCAGAGGGGCCCCCTTGAGCTCAACCCTTGATTCCAGACCTCTGACTCTAAAGGACATGGGGGTGTTTGTAGGCCCTCCTTTGTGGCAGTCTGTTACCATGGCCACAAGACAAACTGACTCTCGGGAGGATGAGGGCCAGCAAAGGGGGCCATCCAGGGCACGGGTGTGCTGTACTCCCCGGGAGAGCTTTCAGCCCAGCGGTCTGGCCACCCAAGGTTGAGGCCTGGATGCTCCCATGTCTGGGGCCTGTGATGTCTCCACTGTCCTAGGGGCTAGGTCCTGGGATGGTACTCCATCTTCCTTGTAGGGAAGTGATATAACTTCCAGTCCACGCAGCAGCCAAGCACTGTGCTGGCTACCTGCCAACTCTGTGCCTCTGTCCGCAGATTGCCTGGGCACTCCAGAAAACAGAAAAGAGGCACCATCAACCGTTGTAGCTCCCAGGCAACCAGGGCAGGCATGCTGTACCTCTTGAGAGTGTTGCGGGACAGGGTGAGCAAGGCCCCATCCCGTTACTGTCAGCCCTGAGTCCTCCTGATCCTTTAGGGCGTCCTGCCCTCGGGGGTAGTGAGCCCACCCTCTCCTGGACCCTCTCTTCCTGCTTCTATGGTGCCACTCTCTTATCCCCACAGCATCCCTCCTCACTGAGGTCCTGAATAGAGCCTTGCCAGCCATAGCAAGGTCCTCTTTCCTCCTCTGTCTCCCACAGTACTGTCCCCACTCATGTCCTATTGAATGCCCCTCACCTTCAGCCTGTGGTACCAGGGCTCTGAGCTTTCCACCAGAGACACTTTAAGCCAGGCCTTGGGCACTTTGCCACCATTAGCCCACCAGGGTCACTTTGAGGTCAGTATTGTGGGGCAGGGAGAGGCAGCACCCTCTTGTCTGAGGATTTAACACCATACGTTGCCCACTCTCTATAGCTTGTTTCAGCACAGATGACTGGACCTGCTCACTGCTCTGAGTCCTGTATTTCAGGCGCCATTGTTTCTAGGGTCAGGCCAGAGTCTGCAGCACCTGGAACAGGGTCTGCCCTGGAACTACCTCCCACAATCCCCTACACCTGATTTAGATCTCAAGTCACTTTCTCCAGGAAGCCCTCCCAGATAACAGTGTAGGTCTGGGTTCTGACCGTATGATCTGCTTCAAAGCCCTTGTCCCTTCCTTCCTGGAGCATGCCTGTGTGATTAGGACACATTAATTTGGGAACTGTGACTCACAGATATCTCCAGGATTCTGCCCACCCTGCTAGCCCATATCCAGCTGAGTACCTGCAGGGTGGATAACAGACACACTAGCTAGAGGAGGAAGACAGGACCAGGGGCTGGAGAGGAATGTGGACTCAAGCTGGGCTGCGGTGGCGCACGCCTTTAATCCCAGCGCTGAGGAGGCAAAAGCAGGCTGATCTCCGTAAGTTCAAGGCCAGCCCTGTCTACAGAGCAAGTTCCAGGACAGGCTCCAAAAGCTACACAGAGACACCCTGTCTTGAAGAACCAAAGTATGTGGACTCAAACCAGCCCTTTTCAATCTTTGCTGGTCTGGGAGGTAGGTAAAGTCAAGTTCTCCATTTGGGGAGCACCCACTCATATGGAGGACAAAGTTGGGTGGCCATCTTCTACAGGGCTCCAGGCAGCATCATGGGTGGTAGCAGAAACCTGTCCTGTCCAACCAGGGGTAGAGGCTCTACTTCCACGAAAGCATCGCCAAGAGCTTCCTGTCCCAACCACTAAACTCACACCAGAGCCCCTGAGTAAACAACCCCAGTGTAGCTAGAGAAGGTATGGTATCACCTCCAAATCTGCCTACAAGTTCATTCCTAAGCCCATAATGTTGTATACCCCTCACTCATCCACAAAACAGGTACCATTGCCACCCCATGGTACACAAGGAAACGAATCTCTGCACACGTCTGGAGTGAGGGCAGCCGAGCCTGTACATCTGGATCAGGACTTACTTGAAGGAGTCATTGAGTTTGACAAATGACACCATGTCCCAGGAAAGTCCTTGATAGGGGCCCTTCCCACCCCACCCCATCTAGGTCCAGTGTGCAGGGTGTCCACACCAAGTTCCCTTAGCTGGTCCTTCAGCCATCCATCAAGGTGAGTATAGGGTCTCTTGGGTGGGATACTGAGCTCAGTGCCTTTGGAAGGGAACATGTGGCTGTGCTTCCTATGATGGCTCCCAGCACACGTGAGAGTGGCACAGACACCCCCAAATCCTGAAGAACTGCTGTCCCATCACAGCTGTCTTCAGGTACTTGCAGGGCCAGATATGAACTGCCAGTGAGCTGGACCTGGAAGCCGACCTTCTCCATCAGGCCTCTCCTCCTACCTGAACTCTATCCCGGGGCAGCTTCCCACTTTCAAATGCCCAGGCCAGCAATTATGCCCTTCCCTGGATCCCCATCAGCATTTCAACAGCTTCTGCTTAGGGAGGGCCAGGTCCCCAGGTTCCCTGCCTGCGCCAGCTGGAAGGGCTTAACTCTAATAGCACTAGGGACAGTGCAAGGCACATTTGTCCACCAGGGGACCCCCCCCAATTCACACAGCAGGAGGTTCTAGCTGCAAACACCAGCTCGGATCACTGATGAGCACTTGACCTGCCTGGCAGGAACCTCCTCTCCATGTTTATAAAGTCCTTACAGAACCAAAACACCAGCCAGACAAGCACCATTGAGCACTTTGCTGCTATAGAGACCCAGCGCTCCACACTCCCAGGAAAGCAAAGGGCTGCTGGGTGCATGCTGGTCCAGGCACAGCCCAGGACCCGGGGGCCAGGCAAACCAGTTGGGTGAGATTTTTTTCCTCTGCTTCCGGATAAGCAGGGCCGCCCAGAACCTACAAGGCTGCATTCTCCAAAGTGCAGCTAAGGCCTGGCTGGGCTTCCAGAGCCCAGGGGTCCCTTTGGGTAGGCGTCTCCAGTCACCATCTGGATCTACACAGCTGCTATGATGGGAATTGAAAGTCAGGCTAGACTCCATCCATCTCTCACCAGGACCTGGGTTTATGCCACATAATTGGGGCACATGACAGGGGCTGTCAGCTTTCATCCATACTGCCTCCGGTCAAGCCAGTGCCATGACCAGCTGCTGAACAGAGGGCCAAGGCAGGGAAGAGCATGAGGAGGGGCCCAGTAAGCCACAACCAGGTGGAGAGTGTGCCAGGACTGGGTGTGGCTACAGCTGAGGTTCTACCAGGGCTAGGATACAGCACCGGGACTCAGGGCAAGTCAGCTGACCCTTCTCTGATTAGCCTGATGGGTGTTCTGCCTTAAGATTTGCAGAGGTGCCAGGTGTGGTGGTGCACACCTTTAATCCCAGCAGAGGCAGGTGGATCTCTGTTCTGTGAGTTCAAGGCCAGCCTGGTCTACAAAGTGAGTTCCAAAACAGCCAGGGCTGTTACATTGAGAAACCTTGTCTCGAAAAAACCGAGAGAGAGAGAGAGAGAGAGAGAGAGAGAGAGAGAGAGAGAGAGAGAGAGATTCGGAGGCTGTTGCCACAGCCGCCAATGCCTGTTTCTACCTGCCTCATTCTACACAAAGGTCCCAAAACTGAAGAGAAACTAGCTTGGCTGTGTAGAGAAAGAGACATTATGCACAACCAGGACGCAGTGGAGAAGGTAGGTGCCAGAGCAGGCTGACAGCTGGCCCCAAAGCCTGCCCCCCATTACTGCTTCATCTCCTGGTACCTCCTGTTTAACTGGCAGAACAGTGAACAGGCTCGAGAGGTATCCCAGACCCCTCTTCCTGAACCAGACGTCAGCGGGCCCGGCTAAGCCTGAAAGACTGACAAAAGGCTATCATCTAAGAAAGCATGACGCCAAAATGGCGGCGTGAGCAAGAGGTCTGGGCAGATCAGTCCCTGAAGGAACTAAGACCAAGTCGGGGGTCCGGCTGGAGGGAGATGCACTGCTCTTGTCTTCTGAGTATAATCACCTGACCTGATCTCCATGTCTCTGTACTCTGAGGTCACATTAAGCCAAGGATTAAGCAAAACAAAGAGGCTGCCTGGAGCCAGGAAGCGAGCCCTAGGCCAGACCTCACAGAGTCAATCACCAGGGCGGTCACAGCTGGAAGTGGCTATCAGATGTGAGTATGCCCAGGGAGAAGTGCAGGCAGGTTGTGGAAGTGCAGGCAGGTTGTGTAAGTGCAGGCAGGTTGTATCCCTCATGTTTCCAGACACCCCACATGGTGACTACAGATCCACCAGAGTCTCCCTACTCCATGTGATCACACCCCGTGATCCCCCACAAGCCTGAAGGATGACACTCCCTAACCGCGCATGGTGCAATGCCCCAGACCCTGTAGTCCATCTGAGGACTGACTACTAAACTACAGAGTTCTTCCATGAGAGACCAAGACGCTGTACAGAGCACCGGGGCATCAGAACTGGGTGCACCTGGCCACATGGCATTCAGAACCATGCGGGAACCATCACACTTGCCGCGAAGGAGAGAGGGGTGTGCTGAGGGGGAACGGCCTGCTTGAGGAGCTGAGGCCGGCTTCACTGGAGGGTAAGATGCTCTCCTTACTGTGCCCCCCACCACTTCCCTGCCAGTCAGATGCTGGGCCAGCATGGCATGCACCCCCATAAGCAGGAGCTTTAAGGCTACTAGTGAAGATGATGAAGGTCACTAGGGAAGAGAGTAAAAGAAGTTTCCTCAGAGTGACAGAAGATGATGGCCTGCCCTTTATCTTTCTGCTCTCCCTTTACCCCAGTCAGAGTCAGGCAAACTGCATCCCTTTCTCAAAAATCCCAGCAGAAGACTCATAGGGAGGGCTTCCTTTGATTAACTGGCTGCAAAACTCACAATCACCAACACACACTCGATAATCAGAATCTTTTTTTTTTTTTTTTTTTTTTGGTTTTTCGAGACAGGGTTTCTCTGTGTAGCTTTGCGCCTTTCCTGGAACTCACTTGGTAGCCCAGGCTGGCCTCGAACTCACAGAGATCCGCCTGGCTCTGCCTCCCGAGTGCTGGGATTAAAGGCGTGCGCCACCACCGCCCGGCGATAATCAGAATCTTTAAAGCATCTCTGTTGGGATGTGTGGGCTCCGGGGACAACATCAGTGAGGGCACTAGTGTGTTAGGACAGCCCCTGCTGAGCAACAGGACAAAGTCTGGCTCCCTGGGGGCTGGCTGCTGACACCGGCTCAGGATCACTGCTTTGGGAACAGCAGGCACCCAGTGGACACAACACTCACCTGCTCCCGGAACCAAAGTTACATTTCAAACTGGGTCAAGAGCTCCCTTATTTCTGGGGCCACATGTTGTGTGGCGTTAGCAGCCTCAGTTATAGCTCTCCGATACATCCCCTTCTTCTTACGGTTAAATCTCAGTTTGAAAAATTCAGAGAAAGGGGACAGTTTTGAAATAGACAAGAATGATGTAGTTGGAGACCCAAACCATGAGACTTTCGCTTCTTGCCAAGAGGGCTCTCCATCCTCCTTCTGGCCAAGGCTGATGTCAAGGACACGCGCTGGCCACCAAGGAAAACCATGAATCTTACCCCACACAATGTCCCCTACAGCCACCGTCCTTCCATCTTCGGTCACACATTGTGAGACGCTCTGCGTGTGCAGCCTGACCGTGAGGGGAGGGACTGTCTGGCGAGTGTCAGCAGAAGAGGAAGGCACAGAGGCGCCGTCACCAGATGACAGGTCTCCTGTGTCTGGAGATGTCACTTCTGAACCAGATGATTTCAGTTCATCCAGGCTGTCGGTGCTGCACACAGATTCACTGGTACAATCTGCTCTCCTCCCCGGGCAGTCGACAAGGAAAGCCAAGCTACCACGTCCATGTTTACCGTGAGTAAACCCCTTGAGGTCATCGTCCTCACCAGAACTTCCAGAAGACAAATCCTCCAGCCCATGGGTAGAGCCATCAGCAAAGAGAGCAGGAGAGTTGGCCAGGGGGCCTCGGGGGCATCCATTCAGCTCCTCAACCAGCTCAGCCTTGTACAGAGGCTCATGCTCCCCATCCCTCAGCCGGTGGGGCTTCAGGCGGATTTTGGGAGGCGGCAGGTCTGAGATGGGAGGCAATGGCCGAGTCAGCTTCAGCTTGGGAATAGAATGCCCGCTGGGTGGTCGGTCACCACCACCCCTGGGCTCCACATCCCTCGCTACCTCTAAGTCCTGGCTGCCGTTCTGTAGAGGCTGTTGGGGACAGAAGGGCTCCACAGAGCCGTGCACTCTGGATGGGATCTTGACCACCTCACCCTTGCCCTGTGGCGTGCTGTAGGAGATCTTGATGACTGGGCTCCGTGGAACACGTTCTCCAGGAACCCTGTCCTCTTCCCGCTTCTCCCTCTTGCTCCTCCTTGAGGTGGCCGCAGATACGGAGTCACTGTCCTCTGGTTCTTCTGGCTTACGGTGCTCACTGTCAGGGCCACTGCCTAGCCTCCGGCGGGGTCTGGGGGTGGTCAGGGGGCCAGGACTGGCCTCCTGAGGACTCACAGTACTCTTGCATTTCTCACACAGTACCTGGCGTGGCCGCAGGCGGATCGTGCTAAGAATGAGTCTGCCAGGGTCCCGGTTGCGGGACAGTCGCCGCCGGGTCCGCTTGATGGTCCTGGGTGGGGGCTGCGGCACCCACTGCTGGTAGGTGTTCCTCAGCCATAGTGGGTGGGGGAAAGGGGCACCCTCAAAGTATGGTGGAAAGGGAGGAAGGTTCCCAGCAGGCAGAGGTGGAATGAGAGGTGGGGGCAGCTCCGACCCAGCTGTCTTGGGAGGCTGATCCTTTTCTGGGGGCTGGTCTGTGTGGTGAGGAGGCAGAGGTCCTGTTCCCAGCTGCATCACTTCTCCAGTTCCCTCCTTAGGCACCTGGCCATGACAGCTGATGACAGAGGGGTTGTCAGCCAGAGGCAGCAGAGTCGATGGAGACAGGCCGAAAAGGCCGGACCTGGTAGAAAGGAACAAAATCAGAGTGAGAATGACGAGAATTCCAGCTACGCCCAGCATCTGTCACCTAACAAGCTCTAGGCCTGGGAGGCCGTCTGTATCTAGATCCAGAGCAGTAGTTAACATTAAACAGGTACAGGTTGACATTAAACAGGTGCCCAGGCCCTGTATGTCCTGTGACATATGGTTTGAAGGCTGACATGCTTCTAGAAACCTGAGAACATCTGCATCCCAAGACAGGACGTGGCCTGAGAGGGAGTTCACCTGCCCCGTGGCCAGTAGCCACAGAACCCAGGCCTCTGTTCATGCGCCTCAGTTGTCGTTTCCTTTAAGAGAACAAGGGACTCAACTTGCTGGGGACTCCACACAAGCCTCCTGACCCTAAAAATGTGTTATGGATGCTGGGCGGTGGTGGTGCACGCCTTTAATCCCAGTACTCGGGAGGCAGAGGCAGGCGGATCTCTGTGAGTTCAAGGCCAGCCTGGCCTACAGAGTGAGTTCCAGGAAAGGTGTAAAGCTACACAGAGAAACCCTGTCTCGAAAAAACAAAAACAACAACAAAAGAATGTGTTATGGAGCACCCTGGTCCCAGTTGCCTTGTACACATCTGTACGTGCAGGGTGGGAGCCACACGTGGCCAGATCCAGAGTCACAGCCACAGCTTCTGCTACCTAGAGGCCAGAGGCGCCAAAGCACAGCCTTTGGGCTCTATTGCTTCCCAAAGCTTCACAACTGGCCTCTACTTCCATGGCCTCTAGAAAAGATTCCTCAGCCAACCTGTCACCTCTGGACCCCGCCCTCAGAAAACAGCACAGTGACTCTAATGAGGATGTTGGAAGAAAGGGGAAGCTGGAATACCCGCCCCAGGGAGCGTAGCATTCCTGCGAGAGTAACACACATCCAGGTCCTGGGGAAGGGAGTGGAGGTCATCCCAGGAACTGGGAACAGGGTACCCTGCCCAGACTCGACTAAGGGCTAGAGAAGGCCATAAGACAGCAGGAAGGAATGGCAAGTGGATGGTATGGGAGGCAGAGCAGACAAGGGGCCAGGGATGGAGAGTTACTATCCAAAGTCCACCTCCCTGCCCACTTCCACAGTCACCTAGGACATGAAGTGGGGATTCCCTCTAGCCCTTCCTCTTATCTGTCCATCCCTCCCCTCCTCCTTGTGCTGACCACCTGACAGGTCCTGTAGAGGGCAAAGAGCACTTCGGGGGGTCTGCTTCTTCCAGAGGCCTAGTCAGACTCTGTATGCTGACGACAGACACCCAGTGCTTGGCTGCAAACACAGGTCCTGACTTGGGCCAGGGCCGTCAAGCATTACCACAGGCTGGAGCTGGTCCTTTCTCAGAGTCCAGGGGCCAGATTTTCCTCAGAAATGACATGGACCCAGCAGCAGGCGGCCACTCTTCTTTCCTAGAGCTACTGCCTTGCCCCTGCTTCGGCCACACCCAAGGCCTGCCTGGTGGGTAAACATCAGAACAGCTCACCCTAGGTCAAGGCAGGCTGGCTGATGACTTCCCCTAGGAGCCATGAAAGTCGCTGAGGCTAACTGCTAAACTTTGGGAGGCCATGGAGCTCCAGGGCTCTGCTTTAGTGCTTCCGCCATCTAGGAAGCAGAGCTTGTGGCTGTGGCTCTGACTTAAGCTCCTTTAACCCTTTAGCAGTTCCACGGAATGACCAGCAGCAGTGACAGTCCCTCTTCACAGATAAGACAATGAGGTGAAGGGACCTGCAAACATGACCCTGCTGCCCAGTCCTGGGATGTTGGGATCCGCTAGCTACCTCCAAGCATGGAGATGGCCATGGCACAGGGGAAAACAAGTGGGCAAACTGTGGCCTGGCCTGGGGCCCATGGGGGGGGGGGGAGTGTGTGCTACAGCCTGTGGCTCCCAAGGCTTGGCAACCCCAGCAAGGCCAGGCTGTGGTCCCAGCTGACCAGTCTCAAGGACAGAGGCCCACAGGAAGTGCTAAGGGCTTTGGCAGCGAGAGGAACCTGTCAGGGTTCACAGTGGACTAAGAGGGCCTGCTGAATGAATGGGTGCAGCTTTGGAGATGACTAACTTTGGGTAGGTATGTAGGAGAGGTGCCTGGAGATTAGGGAATGATCCACCAGGGTAGGAGCCAGGATCTCCTAGAAGCATAGCATCTTGGGGAACTCAGAGGCAGAGGAAAGAACCTCTGATTTCAGGAAAAGATGGGGAAACTTCGCAGGGTTGAGAAGCCCGGGTTATAAGAGGGGGTCATATCCAAAAGCAAAAGCAGTACTAACAAAGAGGACAGGAAACAGGGCTCCCAGGAATACCGAGCCTCTCCTGTTCTGTACAGTGCTCTGATGAGGACACACAGTCCTGGGGGCATATGGCCTGGCCCAAAGTCCTCAGCAAGACACCAGTGACCAAATCATGTCCCTGGGGACTCACCTGTGGGTATGTCTCAGCCACTCACCCAGAGTAGCCTGGCTAAGGCCAGCCCATGGACAGTAAGAATACAGTTCTGGCTCCCTGCCAGAGCTCTGGGCTGCCCCTGCTTGCAGCTGCCTCCATCCGGCTTCCCAGATCTGCAGGCAGACCCAGGGCTCATGGGGCTCCTGGCACCCAAGTGGCAACCCCTCCCCCACTCCGCCTTTCTAGGGCCTTCCTCCCTGAGCCTGTGGTGGCAGAGGCCATCCTGCCACTGCCTGAGGGTTGAGTCAACAGGCTCCTGGATCAGAGGCATGCGGATGTGCAAAGCTGGGCGGGAGCCTGCGGAAACTTCTCTACATAGCTCTGTTGCCAGGAGCCTGCAGCCCCAGGAAGGCCCAAGTCCAAACACCCAAGGCCCCACCTTGGGCTGTTCACCAGGGCTTAGTTTAGAAAGTCCCTGTGGTCTTTCTGCTGCCCAGCAAACAGCCAGGAAGCAATAGGGCTAGAGCTGGATAGGGCCACGAGCAGGAAGGTCTTGCAGAAAACAGAATGGGCTGCTCACAACTGCAAAGTACCCAGAGGCCTCCAGGGACCACTTCTGCTCTGGGAGTCAAGGTGAGGAGGTTCTCAGGATAAGTCACAGCCTGGACACCAGAGGAGCCCCTTCTCCAGAGCATACAACTGGACCTGCCCCACATCTTTGGGCACTGACCCCAGATTTCCAAGGGAAAATAGGTGAGGATCCTGCATGTATTAGCATCAAAGACTTATTAGCACCAATACCGTCCGACCGTAAGCCCTAAGGCTCCCCTAGAAGCTCAGACCAGGCCCACCCCACTCCCATGTCTTCCTTACCCACTCAGCCAACCTACATCTCGATGGTAAAGCTCCCAATTCCAGCATGCCAACCAAGCCCCCAGCACACCAGCTGTGAAGTGCAAGGCACCTGGGACCCTCCAGTTCCTTGAGGGCAGAGAGGATGTCTGAGTGCTATTGTGACCTCTGTGCCTACTACATACTCTCATGAATAGCCATCAGCAGCTGAGCCTCCATCCTGGATGGTATATTCCAGGACAGAGTGCTCTTTAGCCTGATGACAGGCAGTGGCTGTGGTCTTGGTCACAGAGGATGCCACGCTGACCATCCCAGCAGATGGGCTCAGGGGTTGTGTGGTGATGTTTAAGAATCAACAGCTCTAGCCGGGCGGTGGTGGCACACGCCTTTAATCCCAGCACTCGGGAGGCAGAGCCAGGTGGATCTCTGTGAGTTCGAGGCTAGCCTGGTCTCCAAAGCGAGTTCCAGGAAAGGCGCAAAGCTACACAGAGAAACCCTGTCTTGAAAAACAAACAAACAAACAAACAAACAAAAAGATTAGAAGTCCTGAGTCAGTGAGCCTTTGCCGTCTGCAGACTACCCTTTGGCCAGGGTTACCTCACCTGAGGTGCTCAGTAAGAGACATACCTCTACACCGCCTGCAGAACAGTGTCGACCCCACCCCTTCATGAAGGATTTGGGTCAGCACACCTTGGAAGGGATCCTCAAATTTGTAAGTAGGGATCACAGAGGCAGCTTGGCAGAGGCTCACCCCACTCCCTGGCACAGTGTAGCTGCTCAGTGAACGTACAGGAATGCACAGGTACTCAGAGCAGCAGAGAACTTGCTTCAGGCTGCTCTATTGCCAGGCAGCAGATTCAGGATATAAGTGGGAGGTGGTACTTGGCACTGTGCCAGGTGGCTTGCAGGCAAGACCTCTCAGAGCTCCCCAACCATCTGCAGCCAGGGAAGGGGATCAAAAGAGAAAACATCTTTCAATAACTCCACGATGAACACCGGTGGTGGTGGTGGTGGTGGCTGGATCCAGTCTCAGCCCCTTCCACCCAGGAGCCTATGTGAATGGGACCATCCAGGCGATACTTCCAATCTAGCAAGGGGGACACACAGTGATCAGGAACCATAAAGGACAATCGGGCCACCAGGTCTGTATCCAAACTGTGGGAGCTCTGACGGCTATAAACGCCACCAGTACCCCAGGATAAAACGCCACCAGTACCCCAGGAATGCTGACCTGCTTGCTGCTTTGAGACCCAGATGCTCCCCTGAGGTGAGAGGAAATAGAATTTGGGAGCTCTTCCCTGGCCCACATCCAAGGACTGGGCCTCCATAGAAGCAAAGACTGGTACTGGACCCTGAGAAGAAACTGGTACCTGGGAGGGTAGGTCAGCGTGTGGACCCTGTAGGCTAAAAGCAGACCCTGCTGCCAATTAACACCCAGATCATTCCTAAGCTGTACTGGGTCCTGCCTGGCAAGCAGGGCTGTAAATATTAGCTTTGAAACTTACACTACCATGGCTAGAACACTGGAAACAGAAACCGGGGGTGGCCTGAAGGAAAGATTAGGGGTGGGGAAGATGGAGGGATAGTTTCAAGGCCAAACCTTGCAAGACTGGAGGGGCAGGGAAAAGCAGCTTTATCTTCAGATTCTCTGCAAAGTCACAGCCGCAGCCAAAGCCAAGTGCAGAGAAGAGCTGTGACCACTGAGGGAGGCTGAGCTCCAGGCTCCGAGGGGTTTTGGTTATGGTAGTCTGTGGGGCACAGACACCCATGCATCTTGTGCTGCTAGTTCCCATTCTCAAGATCCCAGCAGCTTCTTTTCATGAAGGGTGCATGGATCTGTAAGCCAGGTTAGCCATGGGCCTCAGGCTATCCCACTATCTCTATAGACAGTCTCAGCCACAAGCTAGAACTACCTCGGCCTATCTTATTCTGAGCACTGGAGCCTGAAGAGCTGGAGAAATGCAAGTCCTCTGCTGCAGACACTCTCTAGGGAGAGAGGCCAGAGCAGGCAGCACAGGTAGAGCAGGGGTGCAGCCCTGCAGGCTGAGGACTGAGCCAGACCTGCCTAGGGAGGACAGGGCAGCCATCAGCAGGGTGGGGGAGGGCCTTCACTGGAGGCGCTCAGGTGGCTATTCGGCAGCCCCTGAAAGTCACCACATCACCCTGTGCTAACCAACAAGAGAGGGGCACCAGTCACACGGGAGGCCATATGTTAAGTCACATGACTTGTGCATAAATGGCTTCTGGCACATCTAATGAAGACATAATGTCAGCAGGGTAACTGTCAGAGAAGGAAGGGCTCGGCTCTGTGCTGGGAACCCAGGAAGATCTGGGTTTTAGGAAGGGAAAAAGTTGAATCTTTGGAAGCAGAGCCTTTCTCTGTTCCCAGTTCCAGAATAAAGACCGGCTGGAGCCGAAGAGTCACAGCCTGATTAATGCCTAATCATTTATCCGGCAGTGACAGCGCACTGCCATGTGACTCCGGGTTCAGGTGGCTGCTCTGCGCCGCAGAAACCCCTGCAAGGGGTGCACAGGTGGTCTCAGGAGCTGAGCCCAATGCGCCCCTCCAGTAGAGGCATTGGCCCTGTAACTTGTATCTTCCACTCCCCCGCGAGGCACCTCGCCCACATCAGTGTTTCTACACCCCGCAGTCGTCGCAGTTGGTCCCCACCAGTCACTCCTACAAGCCTCGGGACCCACGATAGAGATAGGGCTTCTCCCTTTTGTGACAGGTGAGGCCACCGCGTAACTGACCCCCTTAAACGAATCACAATTCTGCAAACAGTCGAATCAACAGTGCTTCTGAACAAAGAAAAGTGCGTTAATTATGGCAGATGTGCGGAGTTTCAGGCAATGCTTCCCATGAGTCCCGGCCGGCTCCCGCAGCCCCTCAGCGGGGCCACATGCTCTCCTGCCCCGAAAGTCACCGCGACTTTGGGAGAGAGCCACTTTCGCACCCAGACCGGCGGCCAGCTGGCGCGCCTCGAAACCCCGGCCCGGGAAAAACTGAAAGTGGGCGCCGGGCTTTGCTGCTCTGCCCAAGAGCCTGCATCGGAACCTTGAATCGGCGGGGGAGTGTCCCGGGGGATTCCGAGGAGTCCCGGGCCCGCGACCCTGCCCCGCTCACTTTTTCGTGCAATCCAGCAGGATCCCGGCGAAGCTGCGCTCGCCACAGCTCACGGTGACCACCAGCGCGCCGTTGACGACCTGTTCCACCCGCACCGGCAACCGGCTGCCGGCCCGCGGCTCCATGCTCTCGCCGCCTCCGGAGGCCGCCCCCGCCCGCCACCGCCGCTGCCGCCGCCGCCGCCGCCGCCGCCGCCGCCGCCGGGTCAGCCCCGCGTGACGCCGCCTGACGTCACAAAGCTCTCTCTGCCGGCCGCCACCGCGGAGCTGGGCCGGGGCGCGCGGCCGCGGGCTGCGCTCCCGGGAACCGGAGGGCGTGGGGCGGTCCGCCCGCAGTGTGCGCCCCACAGCCGGCTCTCAGAGCTGGACTGGCAACGCATTGCGGGGCCCCGCCGGGCGGAGAGGAGGGTTCGTGAATCTTGCCGCCACGCTGGCTAGGAATGCCCCCTAGGAGGCCCTGCCAGGAACCGAGGGGTGGCAGGGACACTCCCCGGGCCCAGGCCCTTCCCCCATTCTGCTGCTCTGGGTCCCACCCCGGGCCCCACCTCCTTCCTGATCCTGTCCCGGGGCCACTCCCTTAACCCCGGCGCAGCCTGGGGCCCTTCCCCCATGCACCCTGGGGTCCCCTGCCTAGCAGTCTGTGCTAGCGTACCCTGGCAGCGTCTCCTACGCACGACTCCTATGTCCACTCAGTACTTGGGAAAGTCTGTGGGCGCGTGTGTTTGAAGCGAGTCAGGCCTGGCCGAGGAGACTCGGGGTGCTGAGGGACCCCAGTGGGACTCTTGCAACGAGGCCTTGTGTGTCGCCCTGACCACACGGGCGACTTAGCACTGGGCTACCCAGGTGTGCTCGACGCCTCCTGGGCGACAAGAGGGCTCGCGCCAGAGTGAGGACCTCACAGAACGCAGGGGTGGCCAGCACTAGCGTTGGGGAGGATAATTCCATTCAGAGCCCTAGGACCAGTCTCTTAGGTCTCCCCCGACTAGACGCCGCAACGCGCCTCGCCTAGTGTACATGACGAAGAGCCGCCTCCCGAGAGCAAGAGCCGGGCTCCCAGGCGCGCGCAGCCGAGCCTGCGGGGGTAGGCTGGCCAGGAGTGGGAGGTGGCGGCGCCCGGCGGACGCCTGACCGCCACCTCAGACCTCCTCCGGCTTCCGCAAGCACTTGCACTTTGGATCCGGATTCGGAACCCGTAACTGACTGTCCCCAAGGGTCGGCTGTGTTGTAATGACCAACGGCATCTGCGACCCGGGCCCCTAAGCCTGGCGGCATCGCCTTGATTGGTGGCACCAGGAGGGCATTGAGGCCCTGGCCACCGGTCTCCTGAGCCCGTGCCCCTCTCAGCTTGGGAATGGAGGTTTTCCCCCGCTGGGACCTGCTTCAGGGCTGCTACCACAGACGCCGCCACCGAGGACAGTCGAGGCCGCCTCTGGCACCGCTCTACCTCACCTTAAGGCGACCATGGCCCTAGTTCCAGAGCAGATGAGAAAGCCTGGGCGGAGTCCTGTTGATGGGCACCCCGCCTCCCCCAAGCGTCTGTTATCCTCATGCCTTCTCTCCAGAGCTGGGTGCAGCAAAATTTGGAGCAAAAATGGTGGCTGCAGGAACCATTCCCAGCCCAGTCCCAGGTGGATGGCTGGTGGGTGGCTGCCCACTCGCTCAGCCCAGATATCAACTGAGCATCTGTGCCTGAGTATTGGGGGTGCCTGCTAAAGGACAGACCATAGCAGGACCCTCTTCCCCCAGTTTAGTAGCTCCCAAGCTGGGGACACCCACAAGTTCTGAGCAACTGGGGCTATGAGAGGCCAGTGGAAGGGGCCGTGGAAAAAGACACTTGAGCAAGCAGGTGCCCTTGTGGAGGGACCTCAGGTTATAGAGGGGTGGAAAGTAAGTTTGCTAAACAAGGGCAGGAGAACACCTTGAAAACTGCCAGCTTATTGTGTGGGTAAGACGTTTCTATTAATTCCGAGATGTCAACAGGAATAATTTGGTTGTGGTAAGGGACAGATTTGGCTTGGAGGGACACAGAGACACAAGGGACAGACAGAACCTAGGGTTTAGCCTGTGGCAGGAAGCTCCTGGGCTGCTAGTGGTCAGAGCTGGGGAGGAGAGGGAAGGGCCACGGGCCACAGCCCACTTGCGCTGCTTTCTGGGCCAGCCTGCCAGGTTTGTGCTGTGTATTTTAATGTGTATTTGGAAGCCATTTTTAAAAACCTGTTTCTTGTTTGGTAGAATATTTAAGCAGCCAACAAGGAGATGGATTTGCATTTTAAACACAGGCCTTTCAGGGCCTCATCCTAGCCCCCGCCCACCTGGACAGGGAAGGTGGGGGGGGGGGCAAGCTGCTTCCCCTTTGGAGCCTGGACTTGGCTTCAAGATTCACCTTCCACAGCTGTCTGTCCCCTGCTTGCCACTAGCCCCTGCCTGCCTCCATCTTGCAGATGACTCCTTTGCAGGTCCTGGCAGAGCACTGCCCTTCTGAGTCTCACTGACTCACAACACAGCTCTGGTGGGGAGACTCTCTGTACTCTCAAAGCATGACCCTGAAGGGTGCTGCCATAGCCACAGGCCTGGCCCAGGGCTGCCTGGCCAGACAACTCACACCAGCATACCTGGGCCTGCCTCTGCTTCCTTTTTCTGAACTTACTGGCTGGGACTGTCCGCTGGGCAGTTCCTTCAACAAGGCCTGACTTGGTCAGAGGTGAGGCTTCTGAGATAGAATCAAAGGGCCTGGTCTGGGTGGAGACCTGGGATATGCAGGCCCTAGAGCCTGGTTCACTAGGCACTGAGTAGAGTAGGGCACCAGAGTACACCAGGGCTTCCTGGGGGCCCGCTGTGGGCAGACCACGCTTCCCTGGATGTCCTCCATGGGAAGGCTTCATGGAGTCTTCGTATCTGAAAATCCTGGACCTCCTACAGGTCACAGAGCTTTGGAAGCTGGACTGGCTCCCTTCTGGCCGCCCTGCAAGGGCTGCTCTGAAGAGATCCTGCCCCCTAAAAATCAGGATAATTGTGGCATTTTCCCATTAGGAAATATCTCAGGATTAGGGAAAGAACTCATCAGAAAACCATATGGCTAAGGTTATGGACTTTGGGTTAAGACTGTAGTATTCTGTGTGACCTTGGAGGGGGTAGAGGAGGGAGCTGCCTGTCAGCACTGGTAGAGCAGTGGCTGGAAACACGGCCCCACACTGCCACTCCAAGCAGCCTGAGATCAGAGACCTTCGTGCAGGTGAAGCTGGGATTGGTTTTACTAAGAATCTCTGAGTTGGGGAGATTTTAACATTTAAACAGTGGGTGAGGTATGGGAAGAGAAAGACAGAACCAAGCATGCATGGGTGTGGCCCTCTTAAGAGAGTCACACTTAAGTGTCTTTACAGTAACCGTACATATGATTTGGTGGCTTCTGAAGTTATGTCTCAGGGCTTGCTAAGGAACCTTTTTACAGTAAAGAACAAGGTGGTTCCTGGTGTGCACTGGCTAGGATAACAGCAGGTAAGGTTAAGCCCTAGGTCACAAGAGTTATGTGAACGTTGAGTACTTACTACGAAAACAACAACAAAAAAGTCTTTGTGAGATTCCCAGAAAGTTTTAGGTTTCTGTGTGGGGAAGGAGCAAGGCCATACACGAAGGTCATATACACATGAGCCTTAATCATGGTTCATTAACATTTTAACACTTTTTTTTTTCTTTTTGGTTTTTCGAGACAGGGTTTCTCTGTGTAGCTTTGCGCCTTTCCTGATCTCACCCTGTAGCCCAGGCTAGCCTCAAACTCACAAAGATCTGCCTGCCTCTGCCCTCCCAAGTGCTGGGATTAAAGGCGTACGCCACCACCGCCCGGCTTGGTTTTTTTTGAGACAAGTTTCTCTGTGTAGCTTTGGAGCCTTTCCTGGAACTCACTCTGTAGGTCAGGCTGGCCTCGAACTCACAGAGATCTGCCTGCCTCTGCCTCTGGAGTGCTGGGATTAAAGGCGTGCACCACCACCGCTCGGCTCATTTTAACACTCTTATTTGATATAGTGCCTTAAGAGAGGAAGGTGGAGGCAACAAGGCTTGGAAAAGCATGGCTATTTTGTAATTTAGAGTTAGCCAGGTGATGGGGACACACGCCTTTAATCTCAGCATTCAGGAGGCAGAGGCAGGTGGATCTCTGTGAGTTCAAGGCCAGCCTGGTCTACGGAGTGAGTTCCAGGTCAGCCAGGGCTCCGTAAAGAAACCCTGTCTCGAAAAACCTATATATATATATATTAGGTTAATTGTGTGCATGTGTTTATAGGACTGCAGGCACACATATGGATGCCAGAGGACAATTTGTGGGGTCAGTTCTTTCCGCCTTGTTGAGGCAAGGTCTCTTGTTTCTGCTGCTATACAGCATACCTCAGACTAGCTGGCCTGTGAGTTTCTATGTCATTCTCTTCACCTTCTACTTCATTTATAGGAGTGCTGGGGTTACAGATGTACACCACTGCATATGGCTTAAGATGATTTATAAAAAACTGGGTTTCAGGGATTGAACTTGGCTTGTAAGCCTTGATGGCTAGGACCGCCCACCAACCCCTTTTCTTTTTAATTCTTTTTAATGTTTCCTGTTAAATGACTTTTGGATAAAAGGATAAGATCTGAGTTGTATCTCTGGCCCCAGGTGGAGACATGGCATTCGATACTGCCCAAAGGATCATGAGATTGCAAAGACTCCCTGAAGAGTTTACCCAACTTAGCCTGCCAATCACTTGGCCAAGTAACCAATCTAGAGACAAGTTAAGGAGATAGGAGGAGTAATTTGCTCTAATCAGAATGCACACTGCACCTGCCAGAAGACCCTCTCCACTGCAGTTGCTTACAGAGCTCTGTTGCTAAGCCTGTCTGCTTTGTTTTTCTGAGTTCTAACTCAAAAAGTGTAACTTTTCTTCCTCTCCTCCTCCTCCTCCTCCTTTCTTTTTTGAGACAGGGTTTCACTTGCTCCTTAAACCAAAGCTGGCCTAGAACTCAAGAGATCCACTGCCTCTGCTTCCTGAGTACTGTGATTGAAGTTGTCCACCACCACTCACACCCAGCCTCCTCTTTTAATTAAAAATTTTTAAAATCTGTGTGTGTGTGTGTGTGGCAATGTGTGCCTGGGCACCCTGTGATGGTCAGAAGACAACTAGCATAAATTGGTTCTTTCCTACCATGT